GAGCTGAACGAGACAGCTGCTGACCTGAGAGAGAGAATCATGACCCGAATGACAACCAGGCCTCCCCGGCGCCAATTACAACGGCTGAGTGAAGTACCATCTGAAAGTCTCATTGAGAATGTGAATGCAGCATTGAGAACGATCCCTACCAACACCATAACAGAAACCAATGAGCTGATCTACAACTCAGCATCAGTGATCCTTGAGATACTTGGCTATAAGAGCAACCATGAGACCCAATACCCACCATGGAAAAGACGGTTAGAGGCTAAAATCAAGGTAACAAGGAGGGAAGTGAGCCAACTGTCAGAGCTCCACAAGGGTGCAATGAAAAGACCAGTACCCAGAAAGTACAGGCAGATGCCCATACCTGAAGCACTCGAGACTGCCAAACAGAGGCTCCAAGCCTTGTCCAGCCGCCTAAAGAGATACACAAGGGAGAATGAATCCAGAAGGATTAACCGGCTCTTCTCCACTCAACCAGCTAAGGTGTACTCTCAATGGCAGGGTAACAATAACAACAGAGCAGACCCACCAAGGCTGGAGACTGAACAATACTGGAAAGGCATATGGGAAAGGGAGGCGTCCCACAACAGCAATGCACAGTGGCTGATCTCTCTACGAGAGGACCACAGCAACCTCCCTGAGCAAGCCCCGGTAACCATCACTGTGACAGATGTCCAAGAAAGAGTCTCAGGTATGAAAAACTGGACAGCACCAGGGCCTGACATGATCCATGCCTACTGGCTAAAGAAACTCACTGCTCTCCATGAGCGAATGGCAGCCCAAATGAACCAGCTGCTACAAAGTGGGACTCACCCTGAATGGTTAACTGAAGGGCGGACAATCCTAATCCAGAAGGATCCATCAAAGGGTCCAGTCCCACCCAACTACCGACCAATAACCTGCCTCTCCACAACCTGGAAGCTCATGTCAGGCATCATAGCGGCCAAGATAAGCAAACACATGGATAAACACATGAGCACGGCACAGAAGGGTATCGGTGTAAATAGCAGAGGAGCCAAACACCAACTCCTCGTAGACCGCACAGTTGCCCGAGACTGCAAAACCCGACACACCAACCTGTGCATGGCTTGGATTGATTACAAGAAAGCCTATGACTCAATGCCGCATACTTGGATCATTGAATGCTTAGAGATGTATAACATCAACAGGACTCTGAGAGCCTTCATTGCAAACTCGATGAGGCTGTGGAAAACCACCCTTGAAGCCAACTGCAAACCACTTGCACAAGTGTCCATCAAATGTGGCATATACCAAGGAGATGCTCTGTCCCCGCTACTGTTCTGCATAGGCCTGAACCCCCTCAGCCAAGTTATCAACAAGACTGGCTACGGATACAGACTCAAAAATGGGGCCAATATCAGTCACCTCCTCTACATGGATGACATCAAGCTGTATGCCAAGAGTGAGCGAGACATCGACTCACTGATCCACACCACCAGGATCTACAGCACTGACATTGGGATGTCATTCGGACTAGAGAAATGTGGTCGGCTGGTCACAAAGAGGGGGAAGGTCATCCACACAGAAGGGGTCTCACTCCCAGAAGGAACAATAGCAGACATAGAGGACAGTTACAAGTACCTAGGTATACCACAAGCAAATGGCAACCTCGATGAGGTCACAAGGAAAGGAGCCACAGCTAAATACCTCCAACGAATAAGGCAAGTCCTGAGAAGCCAGCTCAATGGCAAGAACAAAATCTGTGCGATAAACAGCTATGCCTTGCCAGTAATCAGATACCTTGCTGGAATAATTAGCTGGCCAAAGGAGGAGATAAAAGCCACAGATATTAAGACCAGAAAGCTACTAACAATGCATGGAGGGTTCCATCCCAAATCCAGCACCCTGAGACTGTACACGAGCCGCAAGGAAGGAGGCAGAGGACTAGTGAGTGTGAGAACCACTGTCCAGGACGAAACAACTAAGATCCATAAATACATCAGGGACAAAGCCTCAACAGACAATGTGCTCAGTGAATGTCTCAGACAACAGGGAACGGAGGTCGAGGTGCCAGAGATACCATCATGGGAGGACAAACCCCTACATGGGATGTACCACCAGCAAATAACCCAAGTGGCTGATATCAGTAAATCCTACCAATGGCTGGAAAAAGCTGGACTCAAGGACAGCACAGAGGCCCTCATCCTGGCAGCCCAGGAACAGGCCCTAAACACCAGAGCAATAGAGGCCCAGATCTACCACACCAGACAAGACCCAAGGTGTAGGTTGTGCAAGGAGGCCCCTGAGACAGTCCAGCACATCACAGCAGGGTGCAAGATACTGGCAGGGAAAGCGTACATGGAGCGACATAACCAAGTGGCAGGCATAGTGTACAGAAACATCTGTGCAGAATATGGACTGGAAACCCCGAGATCAAAGTGGGAACACCCCCAAAGGTGGTGGAGAACGCCAGAGCTAAGATCCTGTGGGACTTCCAGATCCAGACAGACAAAATGGTAATGGCGAACCAACCAGACATTGTCGTAGTGGATAAACATCAGAGGAAAGCCGTTGTGGTAGATGTAGCAATACCAAGTGATTGCAACATCAGGAAAAAGGAGCACGAGAAACTGGAGAAATACCAGGGCCTCAGGGAAGAACTGGAGAGGGCCTGGAAGGTGAAGACCACAGTGGTGCCTGTGGTCATCGGGGCCCTCGGGGCAGTAACCCCCAAACTGGAGCAGTGGCTACAACAGATCCCAGGAACAACATCAGACATCTCAGTCCAGAAATGTGCAGTCCTTGGCACAGCCAAGATACTGCGCAGAACCCTCAAGCTCCCAGGCCTCTGGTAGAGGACCCGAGCTCAGAGGATAAGAACCACCCGTGGTGGGTGAGAAGGGAATTTTTATATATACTCCTGGTCATATATATAGCTTAATTTAGAACTCCAAAAGAAAGGGAAAGTCCCCATTTATAAACCAGGTGGTTGACATAGCCTGTTGTATTTTTATTTTTTATATATTTTTTTTATAAAGGTTAAAAACCAACAAAAGGATAATACCTGTATTGTTTAAGTTCTATTCATTTAGCCAGACATAAGGTCTGCTGGTGACCATATTCAGTGTGATGGTATATTTTCACTTCTCCTGGGGAGCCATATATTATCTCAATAGATCTGTTTAAAACAGAATATGTTCCAAATGTTGTTACTTCATTTAAGGCACTGGCACTCGAATAACACATGTTCAGCTCATTAGAAAACATAAAAGTCTCAAAAACATAACTTGCAAACACTTTTTTGTTTATTGGCTCATAAATAGATTTATTTGCTGCTCTGAGGCAACTGGATCATTTTGATCCAGCTAGATGTTTGTTTTAAGCCCTGTTTAGTTTTGCTCAAGTGTTTGCTTATTTTATCAAGCCATGATAAAATGGCTTGATGACCATTTTGTGACCAAAGATGGTATTAAACAATGTAAATATACAATGGTTTTTATTTACTAAGAGAAAGGCTTTAAACCAATCGTAGCTACATTTTTATAAAAAAATGTGACTTGCTTCATTGGGCATCATGGCATAGACAGTCAATGTTGCAGCAAGATTGTGACATGACCACATAAATCAGAGGTTGCAAGATGGATAGCAGGAATGCTATTAATTATTACTATTTTGAAACGAAAACTTTCCTTGCTGCAGGTTACTGAAATTTTCCACTTAACAAAAAGTTGTAAAGAAAAAAAAGTTTATTTTATTCTCAGTTTGGCACTGAACTGTAGTGTTTTAACATTAGGTTGTAGCTGCAAAATTGTAGCGAGAGGCCGAAGAAGAACTAATGATTGACTTGTCTTATTTCTCTTTTGAAAACTGGGCTCACCTGGATAATTAAGGCGGATTCTTAGTAGCTTAATCAACAGTGGTACTATGACATTCCTCAGCTGCAGCCCACTTTCCAAATTAGATTATTTTTATTACCCTGCTGCTATAAAAGAAAAGTCTCTGCTACTGCATACAGTATTTTACATTTTTGAATTTAGGTGGCAATACATACCTATACTGAAACTAGTCTTACTCTTTAAGGCTTGCCAGTTTTGTTAAGTGAGTGAATTTCTGTTGTATAATAGGGGACAATTTACAAACATGTCTACTTTTTGTAAATTAGTTTAGTTTATGTCTTCTTATTAAAAGCAGGTTTGCAGTACTATATGATTTACAACTTTCTTGATAGCAAGGTGTATAATTAGAATAAAAGTAAAAAAACAACAGTATTCTTCACTTTTTCTGCTTTCCATTTTTAGTAATTAAGACTATATTGATCTTTGGATCAAATACTCTTTGCTGGCCAATAAGGTGTGTGACTCATTTGGGGGGAGGACTATAATTCTTGGCAACACACAGCAATACCCAAAGGGCTCCAAAGAGTCTGGCTCATCACTGGTGTTCAGCAAAAAAGTGCATCATAATGTCTTATTGACATTTACAGAATTGCTTCCTGTCTTGCAGTGTTTTAGACTTTTGGGACTTGCAAAAAAACAAACCCTTTTTTAGAAACTTCAGAGGTCTGGTAACGCAGGATGGCATGGCAAACATTTGTAGGTGAGCTGAAGTTTTTAAAATACATGCACACACCATTTTTTATTATTTGTTTATCCTGCTAATATCAAAAATGTAATTATTCTTGAAAGGAAAAAGTTTAAGAAAGTTTAAGGTGGAAGAAATGTGATGACACAAGAGCCAAAGTAGCAAATAACTACTGTTGTAACAACTCAGCAAACAAGAACTTTGTCCTTTTTCTCTTTTTTATCTCAGATTAATCTTTTATGTCAAAACCCTTTTTTTTTCTTTTTTTTTTAAATTTACATCCACTTTCCCCCACACTGAGTTGCAGCTCAGGAACCTATCTGATTTCCATGGATTCCCAGAGTAGCAGCAGCTCTGTTTGAATGAGAGTACGGATGCTGGTGGCTCCCACTAGCATATGGATGCTTTTGGTCTGCCCTTACGCGTCGGGACACAGATTGCTGCATGCAGCGCCCTGTGAGCAGCATCGCAAATCAGTCGTCCGAGCAGTGAGCACCGCTGGTGCGGAGGGAAGGGGTGGAAGATAAAGGGGAAAAGCTAGGAGAGGAAAGGATAGGTGAAAAGGATGGATGGGGGATCCTTTCAGGGTAAGAGACAGAGTGGAGAGAGGGAGAGTATGAGGGGATGGAGAGATCCAGCGGTGGGGGTAGTTACAGAGCGAGTGCGTGTGTGTGGGAATGCGTTCATATGCGTGTGTGTGTATGCAGGAGAACAAGTATTGCTGCAGTGGAAACCGTGCGAAGAGGACTGCAGTTTCTGGTGCTGATGGGAAAGCGGTCGAGGCAGGCACATCGTCAAGGCACTGTCATTTTAACCCCAAGTGCCTGTTTGGTGAAGGGGTTTGCCCATTGTGGAGAACAGGACTACGCAATTTACGGTAGTGCTGGTAAGGGTGTATTTCAACTCTGTTCTTGGGATTGCAGGAACACTACGTCTGAGGAATCTGTAATAGCTTATTGGCTAAAGTAGTGTTGTGTTTTCAACTGCAACAAGAAAATATTTATATCATTCTTTTTTCCTGATTACACCACAATGAAGCTGTATAATGGTCTCTGTTTTGTAACTTTACTTCAAGCTACATTAATGTCTCCCTACTAAATACTCAGTTACTTGCATCCTAATCTGTCCTATAAATGAAGTTGTAAATCATGTCCACCTTAGTACAGAGCTTTTGTATGAATTTTGAATGAGTTGTGGTTTTTAACAGCGGTACTTAATTCTTTTCATTGATCACGCTTTGGTTAGCCTCTGCTGGTAGGTGCACCCCTCTCTTGGAGAGTGTCCTGGATGCTGCCATGCTGACAGATACCCCGCTTATCTTTTTAGTCTCATCAGCCTCTCGAACACTGACAAGGAGTCAGAAAGAGCCAGAATGCTACTCTTATGAATTCCCAGGACAGATGTTTTGTATCTGCAATGTAACAAAACAGGAGCCAGCCCCCATTGGTCTTTACCTTTAAAGGCTGAGTAATCCAACATAAAAAGAGGCTGACAGTTCTGCTGAGGAGTATAGAGAGATGGGTGGGGATTTTATAAAGTGCTGCAGGATGCTCTTTTTTTTCTGATGTCTCTCGTGGGACATTTAGCTCAGGCAGCACTGAGGTGACTGTACCAAGGACAAAAACCTATCTTTGGGCTGCTTGCACTTCATATTGGTGACTTCTGACTCTTATGCTTCTGGCTGGAACCTGTTATTAGCATCATTATGTGTAAGAGGCTCATTTTATCCAAATTTCTCATCACAAATCTACCAAAAAAAAAGTGCAATGGAAATTGTTGCTTGAATACAATCATTCTTGAAAAAGTCAATTTGTTTGGTGGGGTTCTTTACTATGTACATTATTCTGACACCACATGTCCTCATATAACCTGAAGAGGAAACTTGAAATATGCTTACTATCAGAGTTTATCAGAACAGACTTTATGACTTGAGCAAATGATTATTTGTTTTAGAAAGATTTTAGAAATGTAGTTAACAATGAACACAACAATATTAAATACACACAAAAACTATTTAGGAACACACAAAATAAAGCCAGAATGTAAAAACTAGCTGTCTGATGTTGTCTAAGACAATGATATCTCACAAAACCACTCTGACACATTGGAGTATCAAAACACAGTACTTCTGATTGCCTATTTCCTGTACTTCAGGCTTCAGTGTCAAATTATATTCAGCAGAAACAAGATAGGAAGCCTGGGAGTTTTTGAGCTGTTGCTAAGCGTATTCTGTGATTTGTGTGTGTGGCAACTGTTGCACCACTATGCCAACCCTTCAAAGTATAAATAAAAATTCTGTAGTCTATTGCTCACCTGCCCATTGACCACAAACTGAGGTCATTACCGGCACCTTGACTGGTCTGTGGCTACATAGCTCCATGTGCAAGCAACTACAGTAGCTTCTCTGTTGGATCAGACCACAGGCTAGGTTTTGTCCTCTCTGTGTATCTGTGAGGCGTAACCTTGCATGACTGTACTCAATTACTTTATGTTATTTTCTTGGATCACATTTTATAGCTAAGTTTTAACTATAGCTTGGAGTAAAAAGAGCTTCAGTTTTGGTCATTAAGGTTGTAGCAAACTTCCTAACACAGAGACCTTACATGTGTCCTTTTTCCAGCTCTTGAAATTTTGTCTATGAAGCTCACTAATTGGCTTATATTGTTCCAATTAACTGATGAAGAGATAGCTGTGGTATTCATGTCACCTGTCATTTGTTGTACTGTATTTCCCGATTGTTTCATACCAGTGATTATTTGTCAGTGAAGTAAATATTTATCTTAAGTCCACCAATAGTTGAATGTTATTGCAGCATGCCTACTTCGATAAGGCCAATAGTACAGAGGACTGTGATGATGACCATGTTCTGATTGTTCTTTGTTGCTCGTTGTTGAAGGCCTACGGGTCAATACTGGCACCTTGACCTGCGTGTGGCTACACAGCTCAACATGCAAGAAACTACAGTACATTAGCTGCTTTTTTGGACCTGACCACAGGTCAGAATTTGCTCTCCTTGTTTGTCAGTGAAGTAAATACAAAGCTCACCAAATGGCTTATATTGTGCCCACTAATTGATGAAGAGATAGCCGTGGGACTCATGTCATCTGCCAGTCACTATAATGCTATGCCTGATTGGTGTATATCAGTGGTTATTTATTTCAACTCCACCAAACAATGTTAATGTTTTGCGGTACTGCTGCATGTTTACTTCTCTAATGCCAATAGCACAGAGGAGTATATGAAACTGAGCATGCTCTGATCGTTCATTTTTGTAATTTTTGTCAGGCTTTAAAACATTTAGACAGGCTCATTAAGTCAGTACCTCAGGCAGCCACTCCCAGTGGCTCTCACTCTACGAAATACTCTCAGAGTCTCTCATACATAATCAGAAAAATAAGACGAAGCTTTGAAGTTCACCAGTCTCCTTTCTTTTTCTTGTTTGCTCCCTCCAAGTAGGCAGCTGGCGCCCAAATGCTGAAAATGCTCAAAGAGGAAGAGAAAGGAAAGAAGCTTACTGTAATAGTGTAGGCTTCAAATAATTCAAGCAATATTCTGGTAGAGTGGGTGTGCCCTCCTGGGGCTATATGGCTTTATTTACTTTTGCAAATAAAGTTGCAAATTCTTGCAACTATAGTGAAACATTTTTTTTAAATTTATATTTGCATGTTTTCTAAATGCTAATTACTGCTGAAAAGAATCTTCCTTAACAAAGAAGAGGATATCTCTTTGAACGCCATCAGCTCTTCACCCTACACTGAGGGCCGAGCCTTCCCAGGCTTGGGCCCAGGCCCATTTGCTGATGTGTCTCTGGCAGACAACAGCAGGGCGCCTCGGTGTTAAACGGTCAGATGCTGTCACAAATCACACACATCCTGCTGTGCTGACAGAGCAGTTTGGCTTCTCTTTAAACTCTGGAGCCAGCTGTCATTGTGGGGTGTTGTGAGATTTTTACCTACTTGCATTTTCTGTCTGTGTTGCTACATAGTGAAAATAGAGGTTTGTGACTGTTAAATTGAGTACAAATTACAACAGGCAACACCAGAGGTTCATGAGACTTTCTTTTCAGATAGTTTTGAATTAATAATATTTTTGGACATCCAAAAATATCTGCGGATCTGCGGATTATTTTCTTTCCATCAACTCCTCAAAGAAAGCTCTGTTTTCGGAGATGTGGTGTCATATTCTTGGAGAAATTGTTAAAAGTTAGCGATTCACTTTTTATGAAAGCTAGCAGAGTTCTGACATAAATAAAAACTAGTATAAGGATCACAGACCATGTTTAAGACCAGTGCAGCTCAACCACTAGTGCGGTGGAAGAAGTGCATGCTGTTAGATTTTCCTCCCATTGAAGTGAGAGCTTGAGAAATCAAGAACCTCTGATTCAGAGAGTCTTGCCAACTTGTGATAACATCTATTGGAGAAATATGTCTAGATTTCAAAATTTGTAGCTCCTCTGTTGTGTATTCCCAGTACCCAGTGTGGCTGCAGAATGCAGTTCAGCCTCCAGATCTACATCGAAACAAGGTCATCTTTCTGAGGCAAAAGATTAAATTGCATGACAAAAACATCTGCAACAAGCCCCCTCGAGATATTTTATTATGCACAAGCAGGTGTACAATTCAAGCCCACGCAGACCTGGAGGAAGTTGTGAAACTGTGTTCAGGCCACAGTTGAATTATTGAATTTAAATGGACATGTTTAATTTCAAAGTTACACGTTGTCATTCCATCTGCTTGATGTGTGATGGCACAATGATGTTTCTCTGTTCAGCTTATTCAGACTGAAAATTAGTTAAACTAAAAGAAAATTAAATTGAATATGTTATCATTTTAAAAATACAGGTAAACCCTATCAGTCAAAACTAAAGACAACAAAAACATCTGGCATAATCTCTGGGCTAGGTAGAGTTTGAATGCAGAACACCTGGAATAATACAAGCTAAAAATATAATATATCCTAGCATTAGTTGTGCAGTACTGCACACATTAATATCGCAATAATTATTGGGATTCCACATAATGTGTGTTGCTAGGTTAAAATAAGGTCTATCCCTTCATATTTTAGCCCCTGAACCAATTTGAGAGTAAACTATGAATTATAAATGCGGTCTTTGCAATTACAGTTTGTTAAATTTCAAACCACCATCCCTTCATTTGTTTTGTCTGCTTTTCCTGCTTTCTATTGTTTCAGTGTATAACAGATCAGTCTTTGATGCTCTGAATACCTATTGGTTTCACCTAAAAATCTAGCAAATAGACATAAGAGTAGTGAATCTTTCTGCTCATCTCATTCTCCACCTGAAAGGATGGAAGCAAATAGCTCAATATGACAAGCTGCTTCTTTAATACATCTTTTCCTTGAATTATTTCCGTTGCCTGAAAGCCATTTTTCACTTACGGCCTCCTTTGCTCAGAATTTTCCCCTCTGAATGTTATTAGATGTTGCTTATCTGCTGTGGTGCAGGAGATCCTCTGCTCGTGTCACATTTCCTCTACACAGTTTTACATGCAGATTGGGTCACTGTCTGCGTGACAGAATGATTAATTGGCCTATCGGGAGACAGGGGAAGGGGCCGTGCTGAGGGGAAGAGGGAGGATGTATGGCAACTGGCTGTAAATGATGCCTGAAGTGCCTTCGCTCAGGATTCAAATCCTAGCGCCTCACTCCTCCTTTCCTAGTATCCCTCCTGATAATAGCTGAGTCACAGCCGCGGGTGAGAATGAGCATTGTTTTATCTATGCAACTAGATTTGTAAATGAGGCTGTCTGCATCGCCCTTTGGGTCAAGACCCACAGAGGTGTACGAATGTGAGGCCGTTTTCTCTAATTGTCTTTAGCAAGATGAAGCATAAAATAACTTTCTGACATCCTTATCTTCGCTGCTGCC